CGTCAGGTTGCCAGAACCAGAACTCTAGGTATGTATTTCAATTTTACTAGATACTGCCATTTAGCTCTTCCAAGTGGTTGCACCAATTTACACTGCCACCAACACTGTTTGAGAGTTCTTATTGTTCAACAACCTCACCAGTACTTAGAATTATCCAATTTATTAATTTTTGTTAATATGATATTTATGAAATTATGGTTTTTAAGTTGAATTTCTTTGCTTACTGGTAAGGTTAAGCAGCTTTTCCCAGGTTTATTGGCCACTTGAGTTTTCTCATCTGTAAATTGTTCACACCTTTTGACCATTTTTCTAGTGGATATTTCTCTTTTAATAGTTTGTAGACATTTTAATATATTCTGGATAGTAATACTTTGTCAGTTATATTTGTAACAAATATCTTCTTCCATTTTTATCTTATCCAAAGTTTTAAGATGTCTTTTGATGCTTAGAACTTTTTAAGGTTGAAATATAGAATTTATCTGTCTTTTTTTGTATGGCTTGTATTTTTGGTATCGTGTTTAAGAAATCCTTTGCTATACCAAGGTTATAAAGATATTGTTGCAAAAGTATTAAAGTTTGCTTTCCCTAAGTATGTCTTTAATCAATTTGTAATTGATTTTGATGTATGGTATAAGATAAGGATCTAATTCATCTTTTTTCACATGAATCACTAATTGTTCCAGCAACATTTATTGAATATGTAATCTTATGTCTGTTATAGATTAAGTTCTCCAAAATGTATGGATCTGTTTCTGGGCTTATTTTGTCCTTTGCTACATTTGTCTATCTCAGCATCAGTACCACACTAGTTTAGTTCTCATAGATTTATTGTAAGTTTGATGGCTATGAGGATAAGTCCCTTTCCTCATGCTTCTTCTTCAGGAATGTCTTGGCTCTTGTCAGCTCTTTATCTTTCATATGAATTTTAGGATAACCCTGTCATGTCCTTTGAAGAATCCTATAGGGATTTTGGTTGGAATTTTAATGAGTATTTATATATTCATTTGGGAAGAAGATGATGTTTTCATTATTTTGTATTTCTCATTCATAAATATGGTATGTCCCTGCCTTTATTTATATTTTATTTTATGTATTTCAATAGTTTTTTATTTTTCCATACAAGGAATGCTTCTCTTTTGTTAAACTTATTCCTAGGGATTTTTGTTGGTATCTGGAATGTCATCTTTTTCACACTTACATTTCCTGATTCATTGATGCAATTGATTTTTTTTTTAAAGATTGCTTAACTGATTTTAATAACATGACATAAAGCCCCTAGACTTAACATACTCATTATGCAAAATACATAGATGAATACTGTTTTCTTTTAAAAATATAAAATAAATAAGCAAGACATGTGAAAATAGGCAAGTTTCCATTAAATAAAAGAAAATTTTAAAAAAAGAAAGTTTTCCTTTCCATGTCATTTGAAGGAGGAAAATTATCAATTTAAACAACATTCAAGTTTATTAAACAAATTTAAAAAAGTATTATAAAATGTTTAACTTTCATCAGCTTCAAGGTTTATGTTGCTCCCAAATTTTGCATATAACTGAACTTTCAAATCTGCCAACACTCACTGAATTGATTCCACTCTGGATTCTAAGGCGTCAATTTCTTCTTGCAAATTTTTCTTTGCTTCTTCTAATATTTCTTGTGTTTCTTCTTGAGAATGGCTAATGAAAATGTCACCAATTTGGTAAGGTATCATCAAACAGTCATCATTGGCAAGCATGATGTCGTCACAAAAATCTTCTAAATTTTGGAGTTGTTTCTTTTTTACTTCCATTTCTTCCTTCAGCTCTGTGATTCTACTCGTATTCCGTGCAAATCTGTTTATCTTTTGTTGATCTTTGAAAGTAACATTGACATCTTCTGCAGCCGCCTTCTTCATGGTGGCCGCCATCTGGGGCGATGCAATTGATCTTTGCATATTGATTGTGCATTTATAACTTTGACGAACTCTTATTAGTTTGGACAGTTCCAATGTAGACATTATCTGTGTTGCCTGTAAACATTTTAGTATTGCCTACTATCTGTAAACAACAGTTTGTTGTTTCTTTCAATCTTCATTTCCCTCTCTCCTTCTTTTTCTTATTGCATTGGCAAGGACCTCCGGAACAATGTTAAATGGAGGCAGTAATAGAAAGCCTCCTTTTCTTGCTCTTCTCCTCAAATGAAATGTTTCTACTGTTTTACCATTAATTGTGAGTTTTGCTCTATATTGTAAGTAGATACACATAAGAGCAACTTTGAAGTTCTGGTTCAAGAAGGAAAACAAAAAATTCAGTATGAGCCACAAATTGTATATATTAACTTTTATTCTTTGAATTTGGGAGAAATAGATATGAAATTCACAGGAAGCCTGGATATCTGGAAACAGTCCAGGTACCTAGGGGAACAAAACTCACCAAGGACCCTAACTATAAAGTATCAAATAAATATTAATTCAAGTTGGTGAATCTGGGGGATTAGAAGAAACTCTAGTGCAGATCACCAAAAAGAATCATGGAAAAAATTCTGAGAATTATGTGTATTATATTTCAGAGCATTTATAACTGTTTTGAAGGTGTTATATGGTCCAGGATATTTTATGGCTATAGCAATTGAAAATAACTAGAGATAGCTTAGAAATTAGCCCTAATAAGAGAGAAGAGGGATGGCTTTCAAATCTCTCTAGATTTTTGGTGGTAAAATTTTTTCCTGCACTTTTACAGACACCTTAGACATTTTGTAAAGTAATTAAGTGATCATCACCTAACTTCTTTCCTATTGGCTCATTTTCTCCCTTTAGGTACCTACTTTTCTGTCTTTTGGTAATCTCTGACTTTTCAAAATTATCTTCCTGGTTTCTTATTTAGGCCTGTCTTTCCCCTTTAATTCAGCATGTCTCAAACTGTAGAAATTCTGAAGAAAAAAGAGGTTCCATAACTAAACGAGTTTGGGAAATACACTGTTAAGCAAAATCCAATAGCTTACTTCCCTGCAGTTCTTCTAGAGCCTTCAGTTTTCTCACGTGCATTGTGAATCTCCAAAAAGGAAATATAGCTTGCAATGTTACCCCAAGTAATACAGAATGCTTTCTAATGAACACCTAATAACACCGCATGTAATCCAGTTCTTTAATCTTCAAATAGAAACTTCTAGTCCTTCAGCAATTTTTTCTTAGTGGAAAACATGTTATGTGCTGTCTCATTACTAGATTGTAAACTCTTAGACGGAAGTTACCCCGAAGTTACCCAATCTTGTCTACATATTGAGACTCAGGTTCCGCCTCTCTCCTAGGTCCTGGAATGGACACCCAAAAGTTCATGTTCGGCAGACTTGTGCTCCACAGTCTCATGTAACCTTCAGGATCTTTTTACTACACCTCAATTCAACTGCTTGTGATCATGTATATTTTTTATTTCACTGAGGTAGGCAATGCTGGAGCTAAAAAGATGAGTAAGACCTAGTGTCTGGGAAGATTTAATGGTAATACCTGGGTGAGTTAAGATTTCGGGGTGTCAAAGAGGAAACTGATAAGAAAAAAAGATGGATGCAGATAGTAAATTAGTGAGCCAGGAGAAGGAACTGCATGCAGTCAGGCTTTCAGGGCAGCCCAGGACTAAAATTGGCACTGGTGTGCAAAGAAGAATGAAACTTAAACAACTGAAAGGTTATTTTGAGGCCACCCACCAGGCCTTAGAAGCACTCTACCTCTTGGTGTAATGCTGAAGGACTGCACTTTCCAGGCTGTTGGGATGGACCTGGAGAAGCTGTGTGTTTGATGCTATTAAATTTTTCTGTGACGTGGACTTTGAGGTCACTAGGGTGGGGAGAGAAACATACCCTTGGCGTTGGCAGAGCTTTCAGGTCTGAGCAAGCTGGCCTCTGCTGGGGAGTCAATAGAGGGGTCAGAGCAAAGCTTTGGTTTTCTGCCGTGGCCAGGGTCCTGCCCAGGTTCCGTCTGCATGGCGCAGGAGACCACCTGGCGCCCAGGACGCCCACGGATGGGCCTCTCTTAGCCGCCGCGGCTTCAGCGCGCCCCCGCTTCCTCGCGGGGCAGGGCTTTCCTTGGACTGGCGGGCAGGGGCGAGCCGCGGCAGTCGGCCCGGCAGCTGCGGGAGCTCGTTCTGCTCTTCCCCTTGCAGGTGCGCGAGTGGCGCGGGCGCCAGGGGCAGGCAGGACGCGGAGAAGGCAGGCGCCCGCCATGCCCGGCCCGCAGCTTCCCGCCTCGGCCTCCCGCCCGCCGCCCCCGCGGAACGGCCAGCCGCAGCCCCTGTGAGGAGGAAGAGGCGGCGGCGGCGGAGGAGGAGGCGCCGCCCCCTTGGCCAGCTCCCCGACCTGGCGGCCTCGGCGGGACCCATGGCGGATTCCTCGCCCGCGCTGTCCCTGCGGGAAGGCGGCCCCCGCGCCCCGCGGCCCTCGGCCCACTCGCCACCGCCGCGCTCGCGCTCCGGCTCCGAGTCCGAGGAGGCCGAGCTGTCGCTGAGCCTAGCCCGCACCAAGACCCGCTCGTACGGTAGCACGGCCAGCGTGCGGGCGCCGCTGGGCGCCGGCGTCATCGAGCGCCATGTGGAGCACCGGGTCCGCGCCGGCGACACTCTCCAGGGCATCGCGCTCAAGTACGGAGTCACGGTGAGCAGGGCGCGCCGCCGCGGCCCGGGCCGCCCGCTCCCGGGCGGGGGAGGCGGTGCGGTGGAGGAGGGGCAGGGATGACCGGGGTGTCGAGAGGGCAGCCATCCGTCCCCCGGCGGCTCCGCTCCAAGCGCCCGCTCAGCGCGCGCTGCCGGCGACAGCAGTGGTCGCCGGAGCTGGTCCTGCAGCCGGAGGGGCGGGCCGCTGAGCCTCCCTCCCCAGGTAGCCGCATCGAGTTCCCGGCGCCCTGCCCAGACTCAGACCAGGTCTGTCGCGTGAGGAAGGCCAGGGCGGACTGGGGCTTTGGCACCACCAGGAGCCACATGCGCCTGATTTGCAGTCCCGAGCACACTACAGTGTATTTACTCAGAGCCGAACTGAGGTGAATTTTATTCCTGCATTAACAAGCCCTATGATGAGTCAGGAATGGTACAGTTGTGCCTACTGGATGGTTCTGGTTCTATCGATTATGCTTTATTTAGAAGTGAAATTACACCCCTGGGCCCACTGGCAACCGTGAATGTGACACCTGTCGCTAAGCAGCAGCCAAGAACTGTGGTCTAGGTGAGCTGGAGAGCTGTTTATTACAAATTTATAAGTGTGTGTGTCTTGGGTGTATTTCGTTACACCTCTTGGAAGAACATGGAAACCTGAGGGAACAAATCGTTTCATTAAAATTACTTATAATTAACTCTGAGCTATGCGATGGCCTTTTTACATTCGAGTTCTGTATCAGTTTTCAATGTTCTTTCCTGAAGCACCTTAGATAGCAATGGGAAGAAAGATGATCTTATCTATATCTTTCTCTTAAAGTGAAACTCTTTCTGGCCCTTTACCCAATGACAGAGAGAGACTGAGTAATCTATTTTGCATATTTGAGGGGGTGTGTGTTTACCTATCATGCCCTTCTATCGTTTTGAGAGCAGGAACCTTTCTGTGCAGTCTTATACTGACATTATCATGCGCTGGAGAGCCCCATTCTGCCCTCTTGGGAGTTCTCTAAATGTGAACAGAAACCTACAATTCTCCATGTGCATTAATGGGGCCTGATTTGGGTCAGAGCCAGAGGAAAGCGGAGTTGGGAAATATCAGTAGCCACCGTCTGCTGAATGCCTGCTGGGTGCCAGGCATTGCATTTGTCCTGTTTCATCTTGATCTTATTTAATTTGACTTTCACAGTAAGCCTAGGAGATAGGTGTAATTAATCTTTTTACAGATGAGAAGATGGATGAGAGGTAAGGATATTTTCCAAGTGTGATTATTTATTGAGACCATCTTGAATTAACACAGTGATAAAGCATTCGCTTTTCTCTAGATATTACTTCTGATATCCACCCTTATTTTTATCCTGGTTACCGAAGAAGGAGGGTCTTTTCTGTTTGTTTTTCATGCATCATCCCTATTAGGCTGGGGTGCCTGTACCCAGGAATCTATGATATACAGAGGAGTGTTATTTCCCATTGTCCCTTCTTATGGCAAACTCTCTGCAACCCACAGCCCTCTGTGGTTTCACTTGAGTTGCTTATAGCTCCTAAATATCTGCTAAAACTGCAAGATTTGATTTGCGGCTAGTTCTCAAATCTGTAAAAGACAACTGCCTTTACTAGTGTGTGTTTCCTCCCCCCACCAGCAGTGGGTCTTTACACTGAAATACATTTAGGTTCAGGGTTGGGCACCTCTACCATAGTAAGAGGCAGTTGAGGAAGTGAGTCTGGGAAACTGAAACTATTTGGGCTGAGTTGAGAAACTATTAAATAAATACAGTTCAAACCTCAAACATGAACTTGATTGGCTGGAGTTTCCCTGGCTGTGTTTATCTCCACTGAGACATTAAGGCCCCTTCCCTAACTCCTTATTCAAGATTTAGCTATTGCTTTTTCAGTGATCCTGGCTCCTCCCCGCTGCAGTCAAGCCTCTGGAGGAAAATGACTCATTCCAGGCTGCCACTGTCAACTTTTTGTTTAGAAATCCTGGAAAATCCTTCAGAGAGCAGTATAGGAACTGCGAGTGTGAAGGAGGCAGCCCAGTAGACTTCGGTGTGCATAAACTTTTTCTTTGTCTCTTTGCTTCTCCCAGGCAGCTCACCTGTCTGCTCTCCTCTCCAGAAGCCACCTCACCCTCCCAGTACCCCAGTTAGTTCCTATCCAGTTTTACTCCCAGGTTTTCTCTTCCTCTTCCAATTAGCTGCTAAGCCAAGTTGTTGCTTAACATTTCCCCTAACAAGTTGCCTTGCTGAGGAAAGGTGAAATGATCTCCATTTTAGGGAGAATGAGCACTGTGAGTTAGAAGCTTAAGCATTAACATATGTAAACCTTTAGTGTTTATAACTTTAGCCCCTGCTGCTGGTGGAGGTTGTTGACCCTTGCTGGTCAAAGGGAAAGAACTGTAAATAGTGCTACCGGAAGTGAGAGGTATGGTGAAGTAGACTTTAGTAATTTGGGGTTTTAGTAGACTCTCATGTATTCTTTTTTTTTTTTAAATAGCTTTATTGAGGTATAATTACAAAATTCAACCTTCTTAAGTGTATAATTCAATGATTTTTATTAAAGAGAGTTGAGACAGCTCTCTGAGTTGCACGACTCAATTTTAGAGAAGTTCCATCACCCTGAAAAGGGCCCTGTGTCCAATCCCATTCCTCTGATTGTCTGTTCCCCACCTCAGGCAGCTGCCAATCTACTTTCTCATTTATAGATTTGCCTTTTCTGGACATTTCCTGTAAGTGGAATCTCCTGTACTCTTCTAAGACAGCATAGAGAAAGAAAAAAGCCTTTTTCCCGTGAGCACACCGAAATGCTGAAGTGTGATTGCCACCAACATTTAGAACGTAACAGGAGACAGATGTGGGGGTGAATCTTGGGAGAATCATTTAACTTTTTTTGCTGTAAAAATAATAATTGTCTGTTTTCTGTAAAATAATAATCAAATGAGAGTTGTATGTGTATATGAAAATGTCTGTAAGCCATACAGTGCTGTGAAAATGTTTGTTATCTTGAAATGTTTTTGGAAGGGCTTGTCTATTTTAAGGAATGGAGAGGAAGAAAAGGAGTTTTGAATATTGCATTCACTGTTAGGTAGGTGAACTGATGATGCTGGCGCAAGTGTCCTTTTTTTGTTTTGTCCTTAAAAGCTACTCATGTGAATCAAGTGTCCTTTGGGGGGAGTTCTCAGCCATACTCAGTGGCTGCTGTTGAGATACCTTCTACAACAGAAGTTTTGCAAATTCCCTCCAAAGTAAATACACCTTTACAAAGTATATTTACAGGGGAGTCATTTTCAATAAGTTGTTTTTAAATTATTGATGGCACTCATTCTGCCTGATTTTACCATGACTGACCTTGTGGCCGTCCGTTAGCTTTCACTTTCCTTATTCAGTAATCTGTTTCTTAGTGACCAGAGAGTAAATTTGTATTTCAGTGAGTCATGCTGTTCAATCCCGATTAGGAGAGACTTTGAAAGGAAAGCATGTGATTGATGTGGCCCCCACACCTGCTCATCCATCTCTAAGAAACAGAGGGTAGTTCTGCATCACTATGAAAAGGGCATATTTTCTGGTCTCAGCATTAACAGGATCTTAGGAAATGGTGAACAGACACAGGGAGGAAAGCTGTAGAGTTTTCCAGCTCTTCCTTGCTTTGGATCATGACTTTCCTTATCTTTGTGTGAGGTGAAATTCCCAGAACAGTAGACCCATCTATGTTCAGATAGAAGTATAAAACATTCCAAAGCAAAAGAAAATAACATTTCACCATTTTGGATCCTCCATGGTTTCTTATCTGTGCTACTGCGTTACCTCCATAAATGGGCTTCCTGTGTCCACTAATGCCTCTTTCTTGTTAATCCATTTTTCCGCACAGCTGCTGGAGTGATCTTTAACTGTAATCAGATCATGTCACTCCCTTCCTTTATCCTCCAGTAGCTTCTCATCACATTTAAAATAAATTCAAATTCTTTTCCTTGGCATCTCAGGCCCTGCCTGGCCTGAAGTTTGCTGATTACTCTCTACACTTCAGCCACATGGTTTTTTTCCTGCTCTGGGGCATTTGCTGCTGTTCTTTCTGTCTGAAATGCTTTTTTTTCTTTTCTTGCTCTTTGCACATCTGGTTTCATACCATAACTTCAATAGAAGTAACAGAGTTTAGAGCCTGTGCAGTTGGCCCAAGCCATTGCTTATAAAAAAGAACAAGTTAAGATCAAATTTATTACCTTTTGAAAAAACCTTTTAAAACCTTTTGTCACAGGGCAGTGACAACATAGTGTGTTATTTATCTGGGCTTGTTTATGTGAAATTTTCTTTATATAATTTTACTTTAGGGGAGAAAATTTTTTTTTTTTTAGTTTTTTGGAGACAGGGTCTTGCTCTATCACCCACTCTGGAGTGTCACAGCGTCATCATAGCTCACTGCAACCTCAAACTCCTGGCCTTAAGTGATCCTCCTGCCTCGGCCTCCTAAAGTGCTGGGATTATAGGTGTGAGCCACTGCATATGGCCAAGAAAAAAATTTTAATGGGAGAAAATTCCTACTTCCTTCCTTTTCATTTGCTGAATACATGTTAGAATCTGCCCTTACTTGTTGCTTTCTTACTTTTAACCAAACTTAATGATAATAGTTGCTAACATTTTCGAGTACTTCTTGTGTGCCATGTGTTGTTCTCAATACTTGACATAAATTAATTAATGAACGATCGTATTGTGAGGATGAACTATTACTATCCTTACTTTACAGATAAGAAAACAGAGAATGATTAGAAAGTGGCAAAGGTAGGATATGAACCCAGAAAGTGTGGCTCTAGGGCCTGTTCTTTGAACTCCTACCTTATGTTAAACTCTTACCTGTTTTAACCTTCAGACTCAAATCTTCCCTGTCTTCATATTGGTTCCCACCTTGATGGGAACAAGCTATGTCTCTATGTCCCTGGTCCCCTTGGTGCTAGCATCCTGTGTGTCACCTTCGAATCCAGACCACAAGGGTCAACACACACCTGAAATGTTTACTAGTGATATTGAGATGAAAAAGAGGCAGCCCCTGACCTCAGGAAGCTTGTGGACTGGGTAAAGGCAATTCTATAGTGAATCACCATGCAGTAGTAAGTACAAGAGCTGGGGGGAGCCCTGCCCTTCATGGCCTGTGGACTCCCTGACCACACCCAGTCTCTGACTCAGTCACCTTGTCTTTGCTCAGTATCTTTGATCCCTTGCCTGGCCTTAGTGGCCTGTCATGCTCTGCATTCAGGGTCCCAGCAGGATACAGATAGCACACTCAGAGGATGCAAGGGAACAGAGTTTAATGAAGAGACGTTCACAGAGTGCGAGCAGGGTTTAGGGAACCAGCAAGGTTTGGTGAAGTTCCCAGAGACTAGCTATAGCAGGGAGACGTTTCCTTTAGGCCTGAAGGGCCAAGGGAAGACTGGCCAGATCTGGAGCCTTGGATGGGGGGGTGCCTGATAGGAACCCAGGCCACCAGTCGTGGTGAGGTCGTTCTGCTGGGGTCGGAATACCAAGTATAATTCCAAGGACAAGGGGACTAGGGTAATGCAGTTCTTATTATAAAAGGTCAGCCTCCTAGGCTTTAGAATAGGTTCCAAAAAAATGGGGAATGGATTAGGAGGTGAAGGGAGGTTTCAAAGGAAAATAATCTGCCTTGAGTTTTCTGCAATTAATAAAAAAAAGAAAAAAAAATAAAATGAGGATATACAGCCAAACAGACAACCTTTACTACCCATTTCTGGTTACTTCCCTGGGTTCATCTTCTATGCCTGTTCCTCTGACGTGTTATTAATTCATCTATCTATCCATCCAAAGCACTTGGTGTGTATAAGATCTTTGCCAGATCAGGGAGGTTATAGAAATAACCAATTCTTGCTCTGAAGGAATTCGCAGTGTACTCTTGCTGTTCCCAGCCCTGCTCAGCAGTTCAGGTCCTAGTGTTCCCATCTGTTTCTGTCCTCCATCCATTATTCCCAGGAAACAATGACTATTAGCAATTACAGGCCCCTTCCAGTAAGTATTTCAAAGGTCACTGTATCAGCAAGGGCTCTTTTAGTTACAAGTGACAGAAAACCTAACTCAAATTGGCCTGAGCAAAAAACAAAAAGAAAAAAAAAAAAAAAACCCAGACCCCAAATGGAGCTTATTTGCTCCTGGAACTGAAAGATGTGAGCATATTCTGGCTTCAGGCTATGATCCAGAGGTCCCCAGGCCCTCCTCTAAGGTAGCTTCATTATCAGGTTCCACGCGGTGGCAGGATGACTGCCAGCATCTCCAGCCCACCTGCTTCCAGCGGAAAAAAATAGAGCACTTTGTCCCTGACAGACCCAGCAAAAGTCTCCTTGCATGTCTGAGTGGTTCTGAGATGGGACTGTGACCTATCACGAAAGCCAGGGCACTGTGCTCCTTCAAAGGGCAAGACTGAGTCACCTCTCACCTGGAGCCAGGGGAGTGCTCAGTGACCTTGGAAGCCTGAGCGGAAGAGAGGAGCTGGCTGCTGGCTGGAAGAACTGGGGGTGCCACAGGCAGAAGGTAATATATCCGAACTTGCTGTGGGCAAAGCGTTCAAGCTGTTTAACCCTCTCAGGTCTAAACCTAAACTAGACCAGAAACACTTGGGACTTTTAGATTTTAATTTGGTCTCTAAAATGCAACTGCCCATGTTTATGTTCTCTGCTTCTCACGCTGCCTTTTCTCCTTAAACTAGAAACCAGAACACAAAAGACCATCCCTTCTCTTTTCTTTAATGTAGTATCTTTTAAAGGAAAAAAGAAAGCTGCGTTTTTGTACGATTTGCATGGATTCAGCTTGTAATAAAGCAGGAGAAAGAGGGCCCATTTATATGACTGTTGGTCTTGCAGGTTTTTTGAAGTAGAAATGTAATTTTTTTTCACTCAATGTGGCATTAAAGGTTCCTCATAATGTGGTTCCATTTAGTCATGTACGTTAATCTAGGTGTTGTATGGATTTTGGAATCAGACAGAAATCTCAGTTCTAACATTTAAAGAGCCATATGTACTTGGTCAAATCAGTCATCTCTGTGGGCCTTGATTGCTTTATTGGAAAATGGAGAGTAGTATTATCCACTGCCAGGTACTCTTCTAACTACTTTCTTTCTCAGTCTTTCTCTCTCTCTCTCTCACACATATACACACACACAATATTTTAATATTTCTCTCTCTCTCTCTCTCTCTCTCTCTCTATATATATATATATCCTCTATGTGAGGGTGTATATAAACTCTCATTTAATCTTCGCAACAGCCCTGTGAAGGGTAGACGATATCTGTTTTACACATGAGGAAATAGGCTCTATGAGATAAGTAACAAGCTCATGTTCATAAGGTCTGTGTTGGTGGAGCTGGAATTTGAAGCAGGACTGTCAGATTCCAAAGCCTGTGTGTTTAGCTATTGCACTAAACTTTCCTGGTTACAGACTTTGCAAGAAAGAGTTGCGGTGAAAATTAGATGCTATGGTGCATGTAGAGTGCCTGGCTTGGTGCAAGTTCCAGGCTGGTAGAGAGGAGGAATCTGTAGACAGATTATAATAGGGTGTGGTGAATATCAAAGTAGGCGTTTCTCCAAGAAGCTCAGGACCAGCATAGTCTGAGTCCTGTCTGCACTCACGAGTGTGGTGGACTTAGGCATGCCACTTAATTCTCTTGAGTCTATGCTTCCTCATTTGTAAAAACGAGATGAAAAGTATCTAGATTGTAGAACTGTTATGAAGGTTAAGTGAGCTAATGTATGTAAATTCTATTCCTTCTTTCACCCCCACTTCCCTTCCCCATCTCAGTGGTTTAGGGGAGGCATCCATAGGCTATAAACCTGTATTAAATTCTAGCTTCTTCATCTGCCAGTTGTATGACGATGCCATGGTACATAATCTCTATGAGCTTTGTTTCTTTTATTTGTGAAATGGATCTTCAAGTACCCGCTCTACAGGGTAGAAAGAATGAGACACTGTATATACCGTGCCCCCACCTGCTGTCCTTACCTGTCCCACATGTACCCATTCTTCAAGGCCCATCTGGAGTCAACAGAATCGAATCAGAACCACCACCTTCTCTGTGAGGCCTTTCTTAATGCCTGCAGCCCCGCCTCCATCATTCTTCCAAATACTGGTACTTATGTCTCTACCCCCTCCTGTATCTGTTCCATAGTCAGCCATCCGTACCCACGGGTTCCGCATCTGTGGATTCAACCAACCTTGGAGAATGTAGTTAGGCCCACAGTGTTGTGCCTGAACATGTACAGATTTTTTTTCTTGTCATTAGTCCCTATTCAATATAGTATAACAACTATTTATACAGCATTTACATCGTATCATGTATGACAACTCATCTAGAGGTGGTTAAAAGTATACAGGAGGATGTGCGTAGGTGATTTGCAAATACTATGCCATTTTAAATAAGGAACTTGAGCATCCTTGGATTTTATTATCCAAGGGAGGCCCTGGGACCAATCCCCCACAGATACCCAGGGACGACTGTATTCGCCAAGCACAATTCTGGAGACATGGGAAAGCACTCCATAAGTAAAATAGGAGCGATAATACTTGCTTTAAGTCATATAATAGAAATGTTAAAACAAGAATGGAATTTACTAATAAGTGCTAAAAATGTACATTTTTTAACTTCAGGGATTTAAGGCCACTGATGTTAAAAGCTGCCTTGTAGGGAGAATAATGCAGTGGGGAAACAGTATTTCCTGACCTCTCTTGAAATAACTAGGGCTTTCTGAGGAGGTGACCACACCAGAATGAAGAATCTCAAATCCGGAGAAAGTATTGTATATGTTTTGCTCACGAATATTTGTAGTTCTGTATTGTATAATAAATCTTACTCCTGGACTTGCTTATATTTACTCTGTGTTTCCTTTTTTATATTTTAGATGGAGCAGATTAAAAGGGCCAATAAACTGTTTACCAATGATTGTATATTTCTGAAGAAAACTTTGAACATCCCAGTTATATCAGAGAAGCCTTTGTTGTTTAATGGACTTAACTCCATTGATTCTCCAGAAAATGAAACTGTTGATAGCAGTTTTTCTCATGAAGAGGAGCCAGTGGTAGCTGGGGAAGACCTCCCTCCTCCCAGTCCTCAAGAATCTGATGTTCAGCCTTCGCAGCCTGAGGAAGTATCAGCCAGAGATTTCCTGCAGAGACTCGATTTGCAGATTAAGTTATCAACACAGGCAGCCAAGAAACTAAAAGAAGAGAGCAGGTAAAAATACCCAGGTTCTAATGTCAGAGACTAAATAAATTACTATTAAGATCTCCTTGTTGGACCAAATCTTTCTTCCTCCCTCCCTCCCTTCCTTCCTTCCTTCTTTCCTTCCTTCTTCTTTCCATTTTTGAGACAGAGTCTTGTTCTTTTGCCCTGGCTGGAGTGCAGTAGCTTCAGCCTAGCAACCACAAACTCCTGGGCTCAGGGGATCCTCCTGCCTCATCCTCCCAAGTAGCTGGGACTATAGGCGTGCACCACCACGCCCTGCTTTTTTTCTATTTTTGGTAAAGATGGGGTCTCACTCTTGCTCAGACTGGTCTCAAACTCTTGACCTCATGCAATGCTCCCGCCTTGGCCCAAATCTTTCCTTTTTTTTTTTTTTGCTTTAAAATCTATATTTTAATTCTAGAAAGACATTTTAAATATATAAAATCTAACAGAGCTACTGCCTGCTGCACAAGGCTTTATCTGTTGCAGTGCTTTTGTCTCTGTTATTTATTATAAAAAGTTTGCTGTTTTGCTTTAGTAGCATCACTATCCAGCTAGCAATTCTGGATAGCAGCGAAGTAAAAGCATCTCATTGGCACCTTCAAGGGCAGTAGTGCCCTGGGAAATACTTGTAACATACTGATCCTTATAAAATTTGTCAGACCTTGTCTGTTATTTGTTACTGGATAGTCCCTACTTAAGATCTCACCTGACGTGAGCTTTTTTATTTTTTAATTTGGTACTAGGGCTAACCTTTCTCTCTTCTATAAAATTGGTTTTGGTGTTCCATACAACTTTGAAGGTATGCACAATATTCTAAGTTGATACACTCCTGCCCTTCTTTGGCAAGTGTAAGTTAAGTTGTATAATATGCATATGTGTTAGTTTTCTGAATACAGTTTTAAACACTGATTGGTGCTGTATTTCTTTTTTTCAGAAGTGAAGAGAGTCCCTATGCAACTTCCCTCTATCACAGTTAGGTGATTCGGGGGCATAACTCAAACCTGGATTAAGAAATGGTTGGACCATAAAGGATGCAACAACTGAAGACTCAAAAGCATCCCTTTTGGATTCCCATAGTGCACATCTTAAAATCATAGTTTACCTATTGCAATTGCACTGAAGTGATTAGTTTCCTC